TAAGCAAAAGAAGTGAAAGGAAAATAGTTTATTACATTTGTAACCTAACCTCACCCCGCTGATTACATTGGTGAATGCTACTGAAGGGCTAGCTCAGTCTCAATGTAATCACCCCAGTGATTAGGGGTGAAGTCAGGTTACATATGTAATAAACTCTTTTCCTTTCACTTCACCTGTTTATACCTTATTTCTTCTTATTTTATATTGTCTTATTATTTTGTAAAACATGTTTTAGATACAAGGCCAAGTATAAGCAAATAAAAGGAAAATGAAAACATACAGATGATCAAATAGAGGTGAGTTTTACTTTAGCAAGGGAAACTGATATTTAAAGTGTATCTGTTAAGCTGTTTTTTGTTTGTTTGTTTCTTTCTTTCTTTTTTTGAGACAAGGTCTCACTCTGTCCCCCAGGCTGGAGGGCTGGAGGGCTGGAGTGCAGCGGCATGATCTCAGCTCACCACAACCTCCACCATCCAGGTTCAAGTGATTCTCATGCCTCAGCCACTTGAATCGCTGGGACTACAGACACGCACCACTATGCCCAGCTAATTTTTTGTATTTTTTGTAAAGATAGGGCTTTGCCATGTTGCCCAGGCTGGTCTCAAACTCCTGGACTCAAGCGATTCACCCACCTCCACCTCCCAAAGTGCTGGGATTACAGGCATGAGCCACCATGCCTGGCCTTGTTGAGCTGTTTTAATTGAGAATAAGATGCTGGAGGTGCTCAGGAGGTTTTGTGGTTGATGTAGCAGAGTGGATGGAAGTTTACTGAGATTGTAGAAGCTAGGGCTGGCTCAACGCTTCTCAATCTGGGCTAATTTTGCTCTGAGGGGACATTGGTCAATGCCTGAAGACATTTTTGTTTGTCATAACTAAAGACGAAGTGCCAATGGCATCTAGTACCAGAAATGCTGCTAAACGCCCTACAATGCAAAGGACAGCGCTCTCCCCTCCCACAATAATGAATTACCTGGATCCAAATCTCAATAGTGCTAAAGTTGGAAAACACTGGATTAAATTATTTGCCTGAATGATGGAAGAATAAGAATGCTAGAAAATTACTTGGAGAACTTGAAGACAGGGTCAGAGAAGAAAGAGCCACCTAGAGCATGGGCATACCAGGTAATGTGAAATTCATGTGGGTGTTGGTTTGTGAGAGAATGGAAGAATCATTATTTGGAAAAATTCCTAGGGAACTGGATTTGTGGTACAGAGTTGCAAATGATTCCTGGGTTAGCAATTTTGTAAAGCAAATGAAGGGTGGATGAAAGCAAGGGAATTTAAAGAAAGCATATGCTGTTTTCTATTTGCTTTTGAAAAGTCAAGTTTCAGTTATCCTCAACCAGAGTTTCTAGTTCTTTCCATTGAAGTTTCCAGATGAGTACAACAAAGGTCAATATTGGTTTGGAAAGAATCTATCCCTAACAGAGAAATACTGCATGAGAAGTCTTTGTTTCCCCCATAACCTTCAACCAGCCCTCTGCATCTCTAGTTGTCTTTTCTTTTCTTTTCTTTTCTTTTTTTTTGGCTTTCCCATAACAGACAACACAAGCTCACAAGCTGTCTCTTTGTGGTTAACCTTACAGAGCTGACCATTAATTCTTTCCACAATACGGTATGTAATAAACACTCTCTACTCTCTAATTTGATTTAATTAAGAAAGAGCCTCTTCTAGCCTGAGTTACAAGTAAGACCTTGTCTCTACAAAGAAAGCTTTTTGAAAAATTACCCCGGTATGGTAGTGCATGCCTATAGTCTCAGCTACTTGGGAGGCTCAGAACAATCACTTGAGCCCAGGAGGTTGAGGTTGCAGTGAGCCGAGATCCTGCTACTATTCTCCAGCCTGGGTAACAGATGGAGATCTTATCTCAAAGAAAAAAAAAAAAAAAATATATATATATATATATATATATAGAGAGAGAGAGAGAGAGAGAGAGAGAGAGAGAGAGAGCCTCTAAACAGTCATGAGCTTTACTTTGTGTTTCTTTTAATAATCTAATACTGGACACATGTCCTTTAGATGATATACTGTTTACAATGCCTGACTTTTGGAAGACGGAAAAAAATCACATTACTTAATAGATTTTGAAATCTCTTAATCCAAATTTTGTTTTGTTTATTCGCACGGCCAGATATTTACTTCACATTGACTTAAACTCAATAAAAACAAAATAACTACTTTTTCAGCATACAAAATCAGCTAAACCTCTCAACTCCAACCAGTAAAGTCAAGACTGAATGACTTTTAAGATGACACCACTTTATATGATGAGTTCTAAACTATAGATGGTTTCCAAGAAAACAGGCAGGAGTATTTGGGCCTTCAATATTTCCAGACTCCTGTTCTCAGAACCAAACATTGAATGAAAATATTCCAATCAGATTACCATAAAAAAACCCTAATCACCCATTTGTTCATTTGTTAATGATCACACATTTGTTAATGATTGCACAAAATTGATTTAATTTCCAACTCTATATATTTTTTAATAAAAATGTACATAGATAGACCTATGTTCTTTAATATTATCTCATTTCATATATTTGTAGTAAGTGTAGCATCATTTCTAAAAAATAATATTTTTTCTTTCTGATGAAATTGAAACTTATTTTACATGCATTTACAACATATATCTTAATAATGATTTAGAAAACTTACCATCAGGTGTTGTATTTCATCATCCTTGTTTTTAGTTGGTACTATGTGAACAAAAGTGGCATCTATCTCTTTTGTGTAAATTACGTAGTGCAAAGTCATGAGGTTTATTTAAAAATTCTACCTCTGCTTATACTCTATATTCCCTTTCTTTTTTCTTTTTTCTCCATGGTACTTACAACCATCAAACATAACGCATAATTAATTTTGTTTTTTATCACCTATTTCCATCCACTAGAATGTAATATCCAGTCAGGCAAGAATAGTTTATTTTATTCACTGCTGTCACTCCCCAGCAATCTGCCGTATACCCCCATGCACATAGTAGGCACTTGACAAATATTTGTTGAATGATGATGGTTGTTACATAAATCAATTTGGCTCCTTCTCTAATGGCATAATGAGGCAATGGATCTCTTCACTGGTTTTTCAAAAAAGAAGTTTACTATTTTAAATTACTTTACTTGCATTAACTTCTTAAGACACTACCCTTTTAAAAAGGTTTTATTGAGAAGTACAGTGCTGTGCAACTTCATTTCAAGATGAGTCTGCACTCCCACCCATTTCAAATCCCTGTACTCACCTAGCTACTATTTGCAAATGATCTCTTACGGATTTACAGAATTCAATCCCTTTCAAACCTACGAGTCTTTCCAGGTCATTGGGGAAATGATTTAATTCTCTGGTGAGCTTAGTAAAGAAATCCAATGTACTTGAATTTTTAAAAAATGGAGGCAAGGCCACCTTTGCTCTTTTCATAGGTGATTACACAACTATATTCCATAACATTAAATTTGCAGTTGTGTCAAGAGACTTTTCTTTCCTAGAATTTCATATTTCTTACTTGTGTTGTACTTCAAGAGCTACTTTAATAAAAAAAAAATCCATTGAGTGTGGGTTGTAATGGAGCAAAATTTGCATTGGTATAAGCTGTCAGCATTCTAGGCTAATAGAAGCTATAATGTGAAAATACAAATAATCTCCAAATAATTTCCATTTAGCTTTAGAATTAATTACATGCCCTTATAAAATCTGGCTTGTCTTTTTAATTATATATTGCTTGAGTTAATAGTAAAACTAATTTCTGGGTAAGGCATTGGTTGGGAAATTTTTGAGAACAGGGACCATATCTTATTCATTTAGAAAGAACCAAAGTGTTTAACCCATTGCTTTGCATATGGTAAGTCCTAAATAAATGAATAAACCCTTGGAAGAATGAGAAATAGATAGAGATACTGAAGACATGCCTGACCAAGACAAGTAAAATAAAAGATCACATTTTTTAAATTTAAAATTATGAATATTTGATACTGGGTCCCACAATATGAGCACATCAAAAATCATCTACTTTTTCAAGCTATCTAATTGGACTAAACCATTTTAGCCTACCTTTATAACTTATAAATGAATATTGTACATTAATTTGTTATTATAATAAGCTGCTTAATAATGGGTAGACTTTTTCTTCTTTTCCAGTTATATCATCCTAAACAACTTAGAAAATATTCCCAAGATCCTCCTGTTCCTTCACATTAATTGTCATTTTATTGAAGCCACACTTTCCAGTGATAGCATTATTTATTTGGCTGTAGTTAAAGAAAGTCACGGAATGGAATTCAAGGAATTTCAGAAAGATTGCTGATTAGCTATCCTTCTAAACTGTGTGTATATGTGTGCATATTGCAGCCAAAGATACAAAAGAAATGAAAAATTCACTAAATAGGTTTATATTTAACAATCAGGAAGAAAAATTTATAGAAATGTCAAATATTTTTATGCTAATAGTGCTACCCTTTAAAAAGAAGCAAATTATATTTGGGAGGCCGAGGCAGGCGGATCACGAGGTCAGGAGATCGAGACCATCCTGGCTAGCATGGTGAAACCCTGTCTCTACTAAAACTAAAAAAAAAAATTGGCTGGGCGTACTGGTGTACGCCTGTAGACCCAGCTACTTGGCAGGCTGAGGCAGGAGAATGGCATAATGTGAACCCAGGAGGCAGAGCTTGCAGTGAGTCGAGATCACGCCACTGCACTCCAGCCTGGGCAACACAGTGAGACTCCGTCTCAAAAAAAAAAAAAAAAAAGAAGCAAATTGTAATAACCAGTAGTTCTCCATTAAGACAACTTTTTATTGTGCCTAATGAAACTAAATACTGTATGTCTGATATAAATGGATTTTTTAAAATCTTAATGAGACTTTGTTTAAAACATGTACTTTAAGTCAGATTTAAGTAAGATCATTTTTTCCTTATTATCCAATTGCACATTAGAAACTTGAAACAGATGCACAGATTATATCCCAAATCTGTAAAAGCATGAGAATAATAATGTATAAACTGCTAACCTTGAGATCTCAGGAACTCCAGTATTTTCCTGAAGATTCTATGCCTCTGAAAACATATTTTCAGTCTGTTGATATTTCCTCATTTTTTCCTTAAAAAAGAAAATGCATTTCAGCATGTTACACAAGGTTATGTTTTCAAAGAGTAAACTTACTAAAGGTGCCAACATCATGATTACATAGGAGAAAATCAATAGAAATCTTAAACTATGTGTAGTTTTAAATATAGAACTGAATAATCATATAGTATATAATTTAGCAAACAAAGAATATTCTTCTTAGAACAATGTCATAAATTTCTAACGATCCATACATGGTTTAACTCATTTGTTTGTCTGGTTTCAATCAACAAATACTATTTGGGACAATAAGTTAAAGATATATCCATTCTATTAAGCAGCATTACACTAGACTTAAGCAACTTTCTAGTCTTTAGGAGATTCATATCTTCAAAACACACAAAAATCCAGGGAAATCAACCAAAATGTTGTAGCTTTTGATAGTCAATAAAAATCACAATGAATATGTTACAGTTCTTGATTTGTTTGATTTGCTTAATGGAAACTATTTCATTATAAAATTAACTCAAATATTTATATATTCATGATTTAAGATAACTTAGACTTTAAGAAAATATACAAAATATTCTCTAAAATGACATACATTAACAAAAATGTTGTTCTTTAAAATTACAGTGCCATAATTAGAAGTGATTAGTGCAACAATTTAGAGAGATGAAACTGGGCAGTAATGATACATACTTTTTATTTACCCAGACTGAATGTATATAATCACTTTTTCTAAATCACTAATGAATTTTCTACTCTTGTATGTTAAGGTAATATTACCAAGTCCATATAAAAATGTAAAAATTTTCTTTAAAAATGAGGTAGAGAAGCTTGTTCATTTATTGTGTTTCCATAGTAGGCAGAACAGAGCTATCATTGATCATAGCCAATGACAATAGCTAGTGTAGAAATTCTACAAATACGTTACTTGAATGAACAAATACCCTACACAAGCAACTTATGCTGCTGTAATTTGAACAAACAAAATACCACAATCTTTAAGAAAAAAATCTGTCTCAGGCAAATTGTGCCTCCAGGATTCGCTTTTTTCCTTTAAACTTTATCAATATCTACATAGATATGCTGAAATAAGGATCTGGAATAAACTGGATTACCTGTGATACAACAATAGCACAGAAATTTCAAATTGTGATTGGAATTACAGTGCTAATAGAGGTTATTGAGTCAGTTTGGTTCTGAGTAACCCCAGATTTGGTAGATGAACTTAAGAAACCTCAGAAAAATGTAATCAAAATTCAATTCTGTTATTTTTAATGATTTTTAGATTTTTAAAAAATTGACAGATAACATTGTATGTTTTGATCATTTACAACATGTTTTGAAGTATAATGCATTATGGAATAGCTAATTCTAGCTAATTAATAAATTATACTACCTCATATAGTTATCATTTTTGTGGTGAGAGTATACAGCAACCTCTCTGTTTACATTTTTCAAAAATACAATATGGCATCATTAACTATAGTCACCTTGCTGTACAATTTTAGGTATAATTTTAAATATCTTAAAATTCTATTGAGAACATTACACATTCAAATGATGGCATACTGAAGACCACTGAAGATATAACTTGGATCATCCTTTGCACTTATTTTGAGGAACATTTAAGAATGGAGCTTTCCCTGTTTTCTCTGTTAAAGATGCATATCCTGAGATTACAATCGAAGAAATTAAAAACCAACAAGCAAGCAGCAAGCAAGCACACAAACAGACCTCTCTTTGTGTCCACTGAATATAGACTTTAAAAAGTTAGAAAATATTTGTGGCTAGGCACAGTGGCTCATGCCTGTAACCCCAGCACTTTAGGAGGGCAAGGCGGGCAGATCATTTCAGCTCAGGGGTTTCAGCCTGGTAAAACTTGGTCTACTAAAAATATAAAAATTAACGGGGCATGGTGGCACACGCCTGTAATTCCAGCTACCTGGGCAGTTGAAGCACAAGAATTTCTTGAATCCAGGATGCGGAGGTTGCAGTGAGCCAAGATCATGCCACTGAACTCCAGCCTGGGTGACAGAGCAAGACCCTGTCTCAATAAAAAAAAAAAAAAAAAAAAAAAGAAGTCTTAAGAAAAAAAAAAGAAAAGATATTTGCAACTAAAACAAAATAATTAAATTAGATGTTGAGTTGAATATGTCTATAAATAGCATTCATAATTTAAAGTCAACTTTTCTTGTTAGTGAAAATAACTTCCCTATTAAATGTAATTTCTTATTAAGATACAATTTAAAATTTCATCCTAGAAATAAAATAAAAGTTTCTGCTGCCATAAAAAGAAAATGAGGATGCTATTTCATTCAAGCTCCCTATTTTACAAATAAGAAAACTGACTATATTAGTGATCTGTAACTAAATCTAAGAAGAAAATTATGGTTTTTTGACTACCCATTATTAAAGTTGAAATTCAAAAACATAATTGTATTTGGCAGCCAAATAAATAAAAGTCTTTCTTTAGGCATTAAGATATTCTATTGAGGAAAGCAAAAATATTGAGAAATCTAGTGATCTAAATTTACATATCTTTTTTTTTTTTTTTTTTTTTTTTTGAGACGGAGTCTCGCCCTGTCACCCAGGCTAGAGTGCAATGGCTGATCTTCGCTCACTGCAACCTCTGCCTCCCGGTTCAAGCGATTCTCTTGCCTCAGCCTCCAGTAGCTGGGATTACAGGCATGCGCCACCATGCCTGGCTAATAATTTTTTTGTGTATCTTTAGTAGAGACAGGGTTTCACCATGTTGGCTAGGCTGGTCTCAAACTCCCACCTCGTGATCCGCCCGTCTCGGCCTCCCAAAGTGCTGGGATTACAGGCGTGAGCCACAATGCCCAGCCACATATCTGTAATTAACCTATAATTTAGACAGAGGCAAAGGTACCCTGGCCTATAGAAGAAAGGGATTCAAACGCTAACCTGTTTGAAAGTAAAGGATATAAAAATAAATCTTATGCATAAAACTGACCCTAACTGAGGCCAGTGAAGCCACTACAGGGAAGTCTACCAAAAAGGAAGACTGTGTGTGGAGATGCAAGCCTTGTAGCCCCAGCTACCCTGAAGGCTGAGATGGGAGGATCACTTGAGCCCAGAAATCCAAGACCAGCCTCTAAAAAAAAATGTTGAAGGAGGAGGAGGAGGAGGAGGAGGAGGAGGAGGAGGAGGAGGAGTTGGGAAGAATGGCATATTCAATGCAAAGGTCCAAGTATTGGGGATCTGGTGCTCAATGCCTGTTCTGTGTACAATGCACAGTAGTCGATGCAGGCGACCATTCCAGTTTAGCCCCTGTGCTGGGTGGATGTGACTTGGGGACACCAGCTGTGTAAGACTGTGTTAAAACAAAAGTATGTGTGCACACATGTGACAGACAGAATTTTAAAAGTTGTGCTAAGATCGACAGTGCTCACCCTGAGGCAACTTTGTAGAGGAATCATCCAGGGATGTAATGTACCTCAGGAAGATTAAGGGGCAGCTACTCTTCCCTTGCAGGATCCCTGGGCACATCACAAAAGATCAACGGGAACTGCCATTTTTCCTGGAATCCTATCTTTATGAGGTGATCACAAGCACATTGGATAGCCTCAACACTGCCTTTTCATACCACCTATGAGTGGGATCCTCACCCTATGGTTGGGCTTAGCAGGGACAAATGTCCTCTATGGCTGATTCAAGGATAAATATAATCATTCCTGGTACTATGAAAAGTGTTTGAGGAGTTTAAAACTTGTAGAAGACTGATAAATGTATACTTATATAAATATAACATCATTTGTCTTCAAACAACTTTGTTATGCTCATTTAAAGAAGCCCAGGGTCAGATATCTGATTGTAAGTTTTATGAAAAATAAGACAGACATAAACCCATATCATCATTTAGAAATGTGCATCTAACACTTATAAATCACATCTGCTCTTTTCTAATATTGGGGGCTTAATTGAGAAAGTCACCTAGAACCAGTTTTTTAACTTGTGGAAATTCCTTCAATATTGCAATGCTGGTGGGGAAAGTAAAGACACCTCCTTGTTCCAGCCTCTTTAGCTTCCTGGTTGCCCATGGAAATCACTGCAAATTGTCCTGCAAATCCCAGCTGCCATCTTGTTTGGCAATGGTCAAGGCACTCTTCCATGTTTTCAACTTTTTATCTAAAAGGGTACCTTTAGTAGGTCAGTGAGGCACATAGCTGTTGTTGGCATGTTTCAATCAGGAGCCAAGCCAGCCTGCACCGAGATCACTGAAGGTCACGTCCCAATGATAGCACTGACTAAACTATAAAATCACTTGTAATATTTTTAATAGGTGATTCAATGATAAGCTATAATAAAGAAATAGAACTTGTTTGAAAGGCTGTCGTCTTGTTCCTGCCTTTAAAAAAGTCTCTTTTGCCAATGCTGGGGTTTTGAGAATATATCTGTTCCTGTCAGAATCACAGAATTTGAGACGTCTAAGTTGATGACTTCTGCATGTCTGGAAGCTTGGCACACATCACAGCCTAAAAACGTCAAAAGGGAATGATGGTCTATGAACACAAGTGGAGTAATTGTCTGATGTTCTCAAGTGATAATAAAACTTCTAAGTTCAGTGAAATAGTTTAATTGCATCTGCAATTGCATCTCAGAATACAGCATTGCATAATTAATATGCCTATAACCAGCACAAGTGTCATTTACTCTGAAGGGCAGCTTCCTGACAGAGCAAAGGGCCTGGGGCAAAGAAATCTAGCAGGAGAGAACAATCTTCTATGTAGAGTTGACCCTATTTTTCTTTTTTCTTTTTGAGACAGAGTCTTGCTCTGTCACCCAGGCTGGAGTGCAGTGGTGCGATCTCAGCTCAATGCAACCTCTGCCTCCCGGGTTCAAGCAATTCTACCTCAGCCTCTCAAGTAGCTGGGACTACAGGTGCGTGCCACCACACCCAGCTAATTTTTTTGTATTTTTAGTAGACATGGTGTTTGACCGTGTCAGCCAGGATGGTCTCGATCTCCTGACCTCGTGATCCACCCACCTTGGCCTCCCAAAGT